TTAGAGCCTGAAAATAATCCTAATAAAAATCTTTAAATCTAGGAGTAAAATATAAACTTTATCATGATGAAGAGTAGTTTTGGTAAACCAGCTGCCAACAGTGAAATACTAGAGCCAGTTTCATAAAATTACATAATTTAAGAATTCAGGCTAATCCAACAAGGCATGGAACCAAAATAAGAAAAATAAGTATTGAAAAAATAAGAAAGCCACCCAATATTATGTATTCTTGAAGCATTCATTCAATAACTATTATAATTAGCAAAAAGGCACTGAAGCACAGAGTGTTAAAAATGAATAACATTTCTATAGAGTAACAAAGCAAGTCAGAAAACACAGCACTGAAAGATACTATTCCTAATAGTGTTAAAACAATTTGAGGCTCCTAGGGTAAAACATTAGTATGAAAAGTAAAGAAGCAACAAATCTTTCATTTTTTCAAAGAAAGAAAAATGAAAGCCGGAGGCGCTGGGGAGCCTATGGTGCTGCTGGACAGGAATATAGCAGGTCCTTGGATTTAATCAGGAAGCTATCCTGAGCCCTCCTCAATGGCCCATATTTACATACACTACAACAGCAGAAAACTTCCTTTATAAAGTTTAACTAGAAACACAAACAGCTCCTGAGCCCTGCATGGGAGCTCCTGCACTCAGAACTGTAGGAAGCCAGAAAGCAGAGGGGGACACCAGAGCCCATCCCCGGCCCAGTCACTGGCCAGAGGCTGCTGCAGCCAACAGGACAGGGTTGGTGCCATTATACACAGAAGGAGGCATATGGGTGACAAAAACATGAAGTCCCCAGTGTGCCACAATAACGTTTCTATAAACATGAAGGTACACATGAAATAGCAGGGAGTAGCAGTATGGAAAAAGCTCATCCCTTAATATGAGTTTACCAATAACACATATAGTGATGGTATGTTATAAAAACCCCACAAAAAAGAAAATGCATTTGAAAATAACTGGAAGTAAATGAACAAAATTGATAGGTATGTTGCTATAGTAGTGGGGGCGATCTTTGTCAAATTGCATTGGAAATATATATATTTTAAAGATTTTATTTATTTATTTGACAGAGAGAGTCACAGTGAGAGAGGGAACACAAGCAGGGGGAGTGGGAGAGGGAGAAGCAAGCTGCCTGCAGAGCAGGGAGCCCGATGCGGGGCTCGATCCCAGGACCCTGGGATCATGACCTGAGCCGAAGGCAGACGCTTAACCCACTGAGCCACCCAGGTGCCCCACATTGGAAATATATTTAAAGTGATTTTTGAGCAAGAAGAAAAGCTGCAACCTTAGAGTCTTTAAACAGGGGTAAAGACTTTCCTGCCTGCCTGTGTAGGGAGGAAAATCATTTTCCCTCTATCCTTCTGAGTTCTTAGCCCAAGACCCTGTAATAAAAGACAGATTAACAAGAGAAAAACGAACAGAAGTTTAATAACATGTATACCTTGTGTACATGTGGGAGTGACCCAGGGGACAAATGAGTAATTTCCCAAGGTGGCTTAGAATTCAGTCTTAAATACCAATTTAATAGGAAAAGGGTGAGGAGGGGAGGTAGACCTCTTGGGGGGGAGGAGTAAATGCTTTCTGGGAAAGACAAATGGGCCCTTAGAAGAATAGGCAGGAGGTTTATAGTTTGGAACAGAGTGTGTCTGGGTGTGGTGTTGACTTCCAGCCTTCTGTCCTGGGAGAAGAGGCTGCTGACACTCCCAGGGGGGAATCCATGACAAATGAACTTCTTTTGGAGGATCTGTCTTTAGGCAGATGAGGGGAGTTCAGAGAAAGCCTCTCCCTGTATTTGTTGTATTTCAAGTACCTTCAGCTCAAAATAATCCATATCCCAAAGCAGCGTCTTTTGGAGTCTGCTACCCTTCACCTGCCAGGTTAAAACAACTAACCAGCCAATGAACTCATGGCTATGGAGGCTTAAGCAGAGACGGGACAGTCCTGCCAGGATTGTAGAGGGTTGGACAGAATGATCACTCACTTACTTTCAAGTTTACAGTGATATTAGTAACATGACCTTGATCATCTTTGTGCCTGTTGTTGGGTTATTGAGTGATTATTGGCAGACTTGGTGACTTAACATGTAAAATCACCATTTCAAAAGTCCTTCACCAATCTGCTTTGCCACCAGAAACCTAAGAGATCACAGTTTCACCACATCCTGGTTAGCACTGGGTCTTATCAGAGTTTAATTGTTTGGTTAAAATCATTAGGCCAAAATGTGAAATTTTCAAGACATTAAGATTTTTGATATTCTAACCTTGCTTTTCTTATCTACAATGTTATAACTAGATAGTCTGTTTTGCTGGAGCATCCTTAAACATTTTCTGGACAAGATGACTAGAGAAGAAATGCACTACATACTCTTTCATCCAGAGGCTTGGGAGATGATGCTGGAGAGAAGTGGTCTGGACAGGTAATCCTAGAACAGTGATGTGTTGGGGGGGGGGCGGAATGACCAGGATGTGCATTCTGTGAGGCCAGGGGTTTGGGCTGATGTGCTCAGTGCCCTGATCCCAGCCTCTAGAACAGCGTCTGGCACAGACCTGACTCCCAGGATATTTGAGTTTGGGAAGGAAATCTGATTGTTAATATCCAGATTGTGTCACTAGGCTGTCACCAGCTTCATGGTAGGAAATGTACAAATGTGTTCTGACCAAGTTGGCTGAGGAATTGATCATGCTATCTCATGTACTTCATTTTGCAATTGGAAATGTGCAAAAAGAGGGGGGAAAAAGGATTTGTACATCCTCATAAAACATTTTCTTAGGAAAGCAAATTTAAAACCTTTGGTAAGCACATTAGTAGGTGCTGAGACCCTCTGACTATTGGCTGATGCATTACTAGAAGCAGAATTTGCTTCCTATTCCCCATCCTTGCTATGTCACCAGAACGTCTAGGCCTTGAGACCCAAACTCCTGAGACTCCTCTTTCACAGCCTTTGCCTGGGCATTCAGGCTCTCCGGGAGAGCTTGGGTGCAGCATTATACTCATTGATAAGGAATCCGCAGCCAGCCTAACAGAGGCTGCCCTAACTCTTGCCCAAGTGTCCATAAATTCTATAAAATGAGCTCCAGGGCCTACCCCAAGCTCTTAAATTATAAAATCTTCCTGAGACATGCAAACCAGAGCTGCCTGCCCTTTTAGGACGAGAACAGTCCATTCCACGTACCTCTGTCGTGGGCCCAGCCTCCCTCCCCCATCCGTCCCCCTTCCACTCTTCAGACTCCTCCTCACGGCGCCCATTAATCCCTGTGCAGATCAGAACAAAGCCCTTCACGTTTGCTGCTGGCTGATGAGCCCAACTTGGACTCAAGTTAATTAGGTCACGTCCACTGTGCCTGTGCACGGGCTTGTCCCCCCTCCTTAGGTGAAGGCAGAGAGATGGTTTTCCCTTTCTCAAGGGACTAGTAGCCTTGACCAGCAGGTGAGGCCAACTAGAGGCTTCTGGAAAGCTGGAGTCTTAGCCAAATTCCATCACAAACTGGATTGTCATCTAGGGAGAGTCACCTCGCCCTTGGGGCCAGCATTGTCCTCTGCGATGAGGGGGCACAGTGCTTGGACTCACTGATGGAGCGAATGTGGCAGATGGCCGCTTTCCTTCTGCGCTGGGCCTGCAGAGAGCATCAGGGCCAATGCAGCACTCCTTCTCAGAGCCTACCTGTGTCTTGAAATACTTCAGTGACAGTGGTCTGGACACCCTAAGAACTGTGGCAGGGGTGTGGATGCCTCTTTGCCATCTATGTCCAGACGATCTGGGGGAGGCTTCCACCTCTAACATCCTGAAGCTCTAAGACTTCTGTTAGAGGGGGGCTCAACTCCTAGGTGTACAGAGACGTCCCAAAGAAAACTCTGAGTATGCCTTCATTAAAGAGTGACATGGTGCTGGGGCAGGATGGTGGGAGGTTCCTGCTGCTTCCCTGGGCAGGGGTCAGTTGGCTGGTCTACCTGAGGCTGCTGAGGGCCTTACCCAGGGCTCTAAAGTGATTGTCAACAATCCCTTTTTGGAGGCCTTGGGGTTGCTTGGTCTCAGTGTGGTTTTCCCATGAGCCCTGCCTTCTTTTCCAAAGACCTCCTCTCCAGGATTAAACCCATGCCCAGTCTGTTGTGGGTGCTCAAGTAGGACGAAGCTAGGAACAAACCTAAGGGTCAGACAAGTCAGATTCTCAGACGTGCTATAGGTAGCCGGTTCCGGCATCCTGCGTAGGCCACTGGTGTCCACTTGGGAAGCCTCCAACCCTGTAAGACAAATTTCCTCAGAACGGTGATTCTCAAACAGAGCCACAAGAACTGTGGTGTTCCAAATTGATTCCACAGGAAAATGGAATAAGGGTGGTCTTTTCTCCAAAATATAGGGGAAATTTGAGTTAATGGAATTTTCTGAGTTGTACATTTTTTTCCTTCCTTATCACTTCTTAAGACGATGTGCTTCTCCTACTTGCCTGTTCAGAAGCAAACAGATAGAAGCTTCTGTGTCTAAGCACAATCACCCTCTTGTTAGAAATCTACTTTCAGTCGCCAAAATAACACAAGCCGTCAAACGGAATGGCAAACAATGAGCCTTCCTCTATGGAAGAGGTCATATTTGGGGTCTCCTTGGAGGTTCTCCCTCCTTTTTCTTTGGAAGTGTAGGTTATTTTGTTCATTTTCTGAATTAATTCTAAAACATGCACATGATACAAAACTTCAAAGGAGCAGAAGAGCAAACAGTAAAAAGTAAAATCTCCCTCAAACTGTTTCCCAGCTCTCCGGCTCTTTACCCCAGAAGCAACCACAATTTCCAGGTAGATCGCCTTTAAACAGAAAAAAAAGAATATCAAGCCATCTCCTCTATAGGTTGTTAGGACTCTCATTTCCCCGGATAGCATTGCTCACAAGCTGTTCTAGATGTATGAATTATACACGTGTGTGTGTGTGTGTGTGTGTGTATAAATATACATATATATAAACGTGGTCACCCCTACGTGACCCTCTAGAGAGGAACCCTTTGTCACGATGCTCCCCTATTGTACCTTCATGCCCAGGGCTCTACTGGGGAGCCCGTCCCAGAGTTGGAAAAATAATCATGTGACCTGGGCTGTCCACAGCAATGAGGCCAACACGCTGTACCATATCCTGATAGAAGAGCTGATCCAACAGAAGGAAGCGACCATGCCAGGAAACCTGTCAGAGGAGGAAAAGATGTTTCTCTTATGTTTTCCCTTGCAGAAGTATAAGCTGGAAAAGAGTATCAGAGAACTTCACGCTATTGCACACCAAGTTGATGCAACCCATAAGATGCTCACCAAGACCAGCCTGGTGGCCAGCTCCTCAGGCAGCATCTCTGGAGTCATGAGCCTCTTGGGTTTGGCCCTGGCCCCCGTTACAGTAGGGGTCAGTCTGATGCTTTCAGCGGCTGGGCTGGGCCTGGGGGCTCAGGGGCTGCCACCAACATGTTGATGAGTATCTCTTAGAAAGTAGGAGCAACTCGGCAGCCAGAGACAGAGCCAGCAGACTGGTGCCTATGGAAACAACTGTGGTGTATGAAGCTTTTGAAGAAATAAGGTTGCCTGCAATCAGTGCTGCTTTGTCGTGTGTCGATAGAGGTGTCAGAGTCATCAAGAACGTCAAGGATTTTCGGGCTTACCAGATGTCCACAGCCAACTCTGGCTTCATGGCTAAGGTCAATAACTTCATGGCCACAAACCGTGTCCCCTTCTGGAGGGGGGGGACAGCTACAGACAGCTGTTGAAGGCTCTGCTCTGTCCATGACCAAAGGTGTCCGGCTACTGGGTGCTGCTGGGGCTGGCTTCCTACTTGTGCAAGACATGAAAAGCCTGCTGCAGAGCTGGAAGCACCTGGAGGAGGGGGCAAGGGCAGAGACCACCAAGGAACTGAGGACGGTCGCCCTGCAGCTGGAGCAGGAGCTGAGCCAGCTCACCCAGCGCTACAAGCTGACCCTCCGGGGCAGGGCTGGCAGGAGAGCCCGTCCCCGAATCAAGAGGTAGGAAAGGGTACAAGGGGTGCATAAGGCAGATGTGGGCCCGGTCTTCCTGAAGCACTCCACGAGGGGAATGCTAAAGAGGTGGATGCATAAATAGATACAGGATCGTAACTGTCCTTTCTGCAGAGAGGATGTTCCCCACACCCCCCCGCCAAATGAGGTCCCTCCTCTTCTTTCCAGAATCCCATCTTTTTCTCTCAAGCGCTGTCCACACGCTTCTGAAATTACAAATTTCGCATAGGTACTCACCGTCTGTCTTCCTGCACAGTGCACCCCCTGGGAGGGCAGGGGTGCGCCCCCAGCATCCAGCAGTGCCCAGCTCACCTCAGGTGGGCCACTGACGTGTCTTGAATGACATGAGGGCGGCATTCCAGGGTACAGGTGACGTTTCAAATGAGTTGGGGAAGGATTTTTATTTGAAAAATATATTTCTAGACTTTTTAAAGAGTTTATTTATTTATTTGACAGAGTGAGCGAGCACAAGCAGGGGGAGCGGCAGAGGGAGAGGGGGAAGCAGACTCCCCGCTGAGCAGGGAGCCCAATGCGGGGCTCGATCCCAGGACCCCGAAGTCATGACCTGAGCCGAAGGCAGGCGCCCAACCGAGCCACTCAGGCGCCACTAGACTCTCTTATTTAGGGACATTAAATATCTAGCTATAAAATCTGAAAACCACTACCAGGAAAATAAAGGAGAATTTCAGAACACCTCTTTAATTTTACAGGGAGTATAGAATGGGACTGGGTAGCATGGCCACTCCCTGGGGTCCCAGAGAGGGACACACTAGACTTTGCTGAGGGTGTGAAGGCTCATAATCATAAATTCATTCATTCATTCATTCATTCATTTGTTCGTTCGTTCGACAGATTTTAATTAACCGAAGCCCGTGACAGGGGCCCAGGACTTAAGGGAGTGTTTCCAAACTTGTCTGCAAGTTGGAATCACCTGGGAAAATTCCACAACTACTGATGAGTGGGTGGGTCCCACGTGTCCCCAGGGACTGGGATTTCCTTGATCAGGGGTATGACCTGGACTTTGGGAGTTTTAAAGGCTCTCCAATAATTCCATTGTTCAGCTGAGGTTGAGAACCACTGCTTTAAGGCATGAGGTTTTCTGACTCTACTGTATCAATATCAATATACTTTTTACTCTTTGGGTACTTTTTCTCGCGTCTTAATAAGCGGGGGCAGATTTGGGGGTAAACTATGAAACACTAGGATTCATAGCCTAAAGGTCTTGCCCTCCTCCCCCCGCCCCTGCCTGTCATGGAGTACAGGCTTAGGCCAGGTCATCTTGAGAAAGGACACAGTCTGTGCTCTGATGGCCCTGGGTACCCAGCAAGGGGACAGACCCCAGATAAGCCACTAACAAGGAAGAGAAGTCAATGGTAGGACACAAGGACAGCAGGGTGCTAGGGGAGACCCTGACAGGTGCACTTACTCCTGGGGGGAGAGAGGCTGGGGCCTTCCTGGGCTGTGTCTCTGCCAGGCACCTTGCCGAGCCCCGTGTGCACACTGGCCCTGTGCATTTGCAGCCGGAGGGGCTGTTCCTTAAGTTGGTTGATGCACAAATACTCAATGAGCACCCCTGTGCCCGACAGCGCACCAGACCCGGCTTGCGCATGAGACACATGAGGACCGATGGTAGGAAGTGAGAGCGCTATCTCTGCCAGCCCTGGCATGTCTAGACGTCCAGGTGAACCTTCTAGAAGATCCCGATTATGCCACAGAAGTGAGTAAACTACTCCTTTTCCCTTTCTGCCCGACCTGGTCCAGCTGCCTCCAGGGAACTTTGGCTTAGCAGAGGCAAAATACAAGTCTTCAACTAGGAAAACTCAGGGTAGGGATATTTCTGCTTGCAACAATCTAACGATGACGGAAGGAAGGCCTGCAGTGGCCCATGGTAATTCCTGGGGACTCCAGAATGCCGGGGTTGGAAGGGAACTCTGTGAAGAGACAGGATTTTCTGTGCATACACATGGAGTTGGAGGCCAAGGAGACCTAAATATTCGTGCTAATTTAAGCTGAGGTTGGGCCACATTTAGAACACCTCTTTTCCAAATTGTATACAACTATACAGTACATTTAGACTCAAAACTTTTTTGGGGCGCCTGGGTGGCTCAGTCGTTAAGCGACTGCCTTCGGCTCAGGTCATGATCCCAGGGTCCTGGGATCGAGCCCCGCATCGGGCTCCCCGCTCGGTGGGAAGCCTGCTTCTCCCTCTCCCACTCCCCCTGCTTGTGTTCCTGCTCTCGCTCTTTCTCTCTCTGTCAAATAAATAAAATCTTTTAAAAAAATAGAATTAAAACTTTTTTTTTAAAAAAAGATTTATTTTAGAGAGAGAGAGTGCATGCACGCAAGCAGGGGAGGGGGCAGAGGGGAAGGGAGAGGGAAAGAATCTCAAGCACACTCTGCACTGAGCACGGAGCCCGCCATGGGTCTGAATCTCACGACCCTGAGATCATGACCTGGGCTGAAACCAAGAGTCGGAACGCCTAACTGAGCCACCCAGGCGCCCCTAGAATTAAAACTTTTAAAAAACCCCTTTATTTTAAAATTAACTGTGCTTGGGGTGCCTGGCTGGCTCAGTCAGTGCAGCATGCAACTCTTGATCTCGGGGTTGTAAGTTCGAGCCCCACTTTGAGTGTAGAGATGACTGAAAATGAAATCCTAAAAATAAAATAAAATAAAATAAAACTGTGCTCTGCAACTCCCCCACCCCCTTCCCACCCTGCCCCCACCCCTTCTCTCATTAGCCAGGACTCGGGGTGTCTTTGGCCTGCAATCTATTGCTCACACCCAGATTCGACCTTCATCCCCAGTGCCCTGCAAGGGCAAGTTAGAGATTTGTGAAAGGCTGTTACTGAAAATTATCCTTTCATGCAGCAGAACTGATAGTTGTGAAAAACTAGGCACCATTAACATGGCCCAGTGCTGGGAGACTGGTCTAAGACAACTATTCATCCACTTGAGAGAACATTAGGTACCTATCCAAATGGTGTTCACCAGAGCCAGTCATTGGATTAGCATGGAAAACGTTTCTACCAAGTTAGGTGAGAAAAGCAGGATGAGAATTGTATGCACACTTTCTCACCTCGGATCTAAGCCGGGGGAGACTCAGCAAGGTCCCACGACAGCCGCCTCTATCTGGAGGGGATGTGCTTATGTCTTCCTTCTTTCCACCTGTCTAGAATTGTCAAGTTTTCTAGGATGTGGACTACTTGTTTTATGAAATGGAAAGTAGATAGTAAATATTGACATCAAAGTAACAGATTTTTTTTTTTTTAAAGGAGACCAACCCATAGTCTGCTGGTCTTAGTTTAGTTTCTTAAATCACTTGAATGAACACAGCCTCCTCCTCCCCACTGAATGAAGCCATTGTGGGAGGAGAAGGAATGTGTTTTCTGGGAAGACTGTTCTCATGATGTTAGCAATGGCTGAAAACCCAGGAAGTCTAAGTCTTTTGGGTTCTTGGCCCCAATTCCAATGTGTGTGTGTGTGTATGTGTGTGTAACCACCATGGTAAGGTAGCAAATGCTGGACCGTTCTACCCTAAGAAAACTCTAGGCTAACCTGACTGATTTGTAAACTTGTTTTGCAGAAGTTGACCAACCCCACCAGTAAGCCTGGGAGCAAGCCAGGAAGAATTCTTGCAACTGTGCAGAAGGGACCAGGAGGAAACGAAAGTAATCTCTGTGAGGACACACCCTGAGAGGTCCCCCCATTCATCATACTTACATTTTTGAACACGTGTCCATGAAGAGATGCGCTTGCTCAGAAAGGAAGGCACCTGCTTTTCCCTCTATCCAATTAGCCTATTTCATTCAACTTATATGCTGACCCCTTGTCCTTAAACATGCCCAACCCCCAGCCCTTTGGGTGGCAGAGATGAGGTTTGTTTGGCTGCCTCTCGAATAAACTTTTCCCTTGATGCATAATCCATGTCTCAGTGACTGGCTCTGCTGTGCACCGGATAGAGCTTGGGTTTGTTTACATGTGTGTGTGCACCGGGAGAGGCTTCCACACCCCCACAAGCAATTCTGTGACACCAGCAGCAGTCCAAGAATTCAGTTAGATTCTGACACTATCTACTTGGGAGAGAGCATCACATTCCGCAGGTGAAGGTTTGGTCCCACCAGCCCACCCTCCACTTAGAGGACAGTCCCGACCCCAGGTTGTTTCCTGTGTGTCCAACTGCCTGGCTGTCCATCAGAGGTTCCCACAACCCCCTCCTTGGATTTGATGAATTTGCTACAGCAGCTCACAGAACTCAAGGAAACCCATTTACTCACAAGATTACCGATTTATTACACAGGAAATTAAAGAATATGAATTGACAGCCAGATGAAGAGATGTATAGGGCAAGGACATGAACAAAGGAGCTTCTGTTCTTGCTGAAGTCTGGGGCCCAGCACGGTAGCCTGTGGAAGTGTTCTGGCTCCCTGACCTGGAAGCTCTCCGAAACTCCTCCTTTTTGGGGTTTTATGGAGGCTTCATTACAGAGGCACAATTGATGAACTCCTTGGCCATTGGTTGATTCAACCTTCAGCCTCTCTCCCCTCCCAGGAAATCAGGGGGTGAGACTGAAAGTTCCAACCCTCTGTTCATGGTTGGTTCCCCTGGAAACCAGCCCCCATCCTTAGGTGTTTCCCAAAGTCACCTCATAAACGTAACCCCAGCTGTGGTGGACTCACCACCACGTGCTGTGAATAACAAGACACTCATTTCACCTCAGAGGCTCTGAAGTGTTTTCAGGAACTGAGGACAAGAGACCAAATATTATAACACAAGGTGTACCCATTGCTCTTATCACTCAGGAAATTCCAAGGGTTTTGGGAGCTGTGAGCCAGGAACTGTGGATGAAGACCAAATGTATATGAAAAATATATTTTCGTCACCCGAATGAATGACCAAATATATATATTTCTTATAAATCACAGTATTTGCTCCTATGTAGCCTCCACCCCGTTCATCCATCCATCTCACCTATCCATCTGTCCATCACCCATCCATCTACCCATCCATGCACCACCCATCCACCCATCCAACCATCTACCCATCCATCTACCCATCCATGCACCACCCATCCACCCATCCACCACCCATCCACCCATCCAACCATCTACCCATCCATCTACCCATCCATGCCCACCCATCCACCCATCCAACCATCTACCCATCCATCTACCCATCCATGCACCACCCATCCACCCATCCAACCATCTACCCATCCATCTACCCATTCATGCATCCTGGATCTACCCATCCACCCACCCACGCCCCCATCCATTCATCCATCCTATCCATCCATCCATTCATCTATCTCACCTGTCCATCTGTCCATTTGTCCATCCGTCCATCCATCCATCCAACCACCATGTACCCATCCACCCATCCAGACACTTACTGAATACCTACCACGTGAAAGGCATTTTTCTAGGCAGTTGGGATAGAGCAGTAAACAAAACAAATCCCTACCGTCATGGAATCTATTGTCTCATGGTGGTGGTGGTGGGGGGGGGAGGCAAACAAGAAACACAATAAAGAAGTAAATTATACAGTATAATATAAAGTAGTGGATGTGAGGGAGAAAAATAAATCTGGGAAGGAGGATACAGAGAGTAGGGTGGGGCAAGAAAGCAGTTTTAAATAAGACCATCAGCGAAAACCTTTGAGGAGTTTTTATCTAAGTAAAGACATGAAGGTGGTGAGGGAGCCAGCCAAGAAGATATCTGGGAGAAGAGCATTCCAGACAGAGGGACAGCAAAGGTGACACAGGTGGCAGGTTTGGGGAGCTGCAGTGAGGCTGTGTGCCAGAAGCAGAGTAATGGCTTGGGGAACACAAAGGGAGGATAGGAGATGAGGTCAGAAAGGCAACTGGAAGCCACAAGATACAGTGTCTTATAGGCTATGGTAAGATTTTGGCTTTTACTGAGTGAGATGGGAAAACATCGGAAGGTTTCAAGCGGGGGGCGGGGGGCGGGTGACATAATCTATCTTAGATTTTAACAGCATCACCCTGGCTGTTGTGTGGGGAAGAGACCATAGGGGCAAGGCTATCACAGGGATACCAGTTAGCAAGTTACTGAACCAATCCTTGGGAGAGCGGATAGTGGCTTGAAGCAATGTGGTCGCCGTAGAGGTGGTGAGAAGTGTCGGATCCTGGACGTATTCTGAAGGTAGAGCCCGTAGGATTTGCTCACGGACTGGATGTGTGGTGTGAGAGAAAAAGAAGAGCCAGGATGAGAGGCCAAGGTTTTAGCCTGAACAACTGGTCATTGCCTAAAATAGGTTTTGTGGGGGTGGCAGTGTAGGGCAAGATCAAGTTGCTCAGTTTGGACATGAGAAGTTCGAAATACCCAACAGACAAGCAAGTGGAGATGGTGGGTAGATGGTGAGATATGTAAATCTAGATTCAGGATATTGGGTCTCCAACAACAAATTGGTCAGAGATACAAATTTGTAAATAGATGATATTTAAAATCATAAGAGTGGATAAGGTTATCAAAGACTAGAGTGTATGTACAAAAGAGTAAATGTACAAGATCAGTGCCCTGGGGGCCCCTGGCTTGACGAGGATGGGGAGAAGTAGAGGGACCATCAAAGGAGACAGAGAAGGAGCAGCCACCAAAGTTGGAGGGAAGCCAGGAGTGGGGTGTCCAGGGAGCCAAGTGGAGAAAGCCTCAAGGACGATGAGCCCTGATCTGATTTAGCAACATGGAAGCCATTGGTGGCCTTGACAAGAACAGTTATGGGGGAGTGGTAGAAGACCAAAGCTTGACTGGAGAGGGTTTAAGAGAAGGAAGAAGGAAACTGGAGACGAAGTATAGACAAAGCTTTTGAGTGCAACCAACAAGATACCATCTCATTGACTACTTTGGCAAAAGTTAAAAGAAGAAGGCATCCCTGGGGCACCTGGGTGGTGCAGTCGGTTAAGCGTCTGACTCTTGGTTTTGGCTCAGGTCATGATCTCAGGGTTGTGAGGTCCGTGCTCAGCATGGAGTCTGCTTAGGATTCTCTCTCCCTCTCCCTCTCCCTCTGCCCCTCCTCCCCTCTAAAAAGAAATAAATAAATACAACTTAAAAAATAAAGAAATATTAACATAGTTCTGTGAAGGTGGGGACGACCCAATAATGAAGAGATGGTGGTGCCAATGCCCAGTGTCTGTCCCTTGCTCTTTCAGCTCCTGGTGCCCATGTTGGACTGCAAGCTGGACTGGAACCCTATTTCTAGACTCTTCATATTGGCTTGGACCTCTGGGTCAACTCCATCCTATTTCCCCCACACCTCTTGCAACATGGTTGTTAGAAATATAGGGCAACTCAGCAATACGATTGGATATATGACATTCTATAGGTAAGTTCTCATTTTTCACACATATATAAAGAGAGCACAGTCCTGGGGAATCTTCGGTGCTGTTTCCATCAGCAATGAGGTCCATTCCAACCTTCTCAACCTGAGGAATCCTTGTGCACATCCAGAAATTCCTTGATTCCTGTCCCTCTCCCCCTCAAGAAAGAAAAGAGGAGGGCGCCTGGGTGGCTCAGAAGGTTAAGCGTCTGCCTTCAGCTCAGGTCATGATCCCAGGGTCCTGGGATCGAGTCCCGCATCAGGCTCCCTTGGGAGCCTGCTTTTCCCTCTGCCTCTCTCTCTCTCTCTCTGTCTCTCATGAATAAATAAAAATAAAATCTTTAAAAAAATTAAAAAAAGAAAAAAAAGAAAAGAGGAAAGAAATACTGATGGTTCACTCTGCAGTAGGAACTCTGCTAAATGCTTTACCAAAGTTATTAAATCATAGCCCATAGTTACTGACTACTTAGCACTTTCTAGACACTGTGCTAAGTACTCTATAAATATTGTCCTATTTCATCCTTGTGACCAACTACTACAGTGGTACATCTATCATCTTCCAGTGTATAGCTGAGGGATCTAATGCACAGAGACATTAAATTTTTCGAGGTCGACCAGTTAGCAGGTGGCAGCTCAGGGCTGAGCTCAGAAGCCTCTTGACTCCTCGCTCATAACCACTACCCTACGCTGCTTTGGTTAGGCGTCCCAGTTAGGAAATGGGTGAATTTCTCAAGGTCACACCATTAAGGAGCAGTAGGGCTGGAGTTTGTACATGTATGTGTTTGTAGGCCAGAGGTAGACATTTTAAATTTGTCTATGTGAGCCAATTCTGACATGGCTCACTTTTAAACATTATGGGGAGATTTAGTATTTTTTACCCTTGCACACACACACCAAAATTAGCATCTACATTCAGCCTGTGCTTGGTGGGAGATTTTTCACAAGCACTGATCTAAACTCTTCCAGAGATTTCTGGAGTCTTGGGATCTGTCCAAGGCAAGAGTCAGCAAATTACAGCCCACGGGCCCAATCTGGCCCACCACCTGTTTTTGTAAATAAAGTTTTACTGGAACACAGCCACGCCCATTTGTTTGTGCACAGGCTCTGGTGGCTTTCCTGCTATAATGGCCGGACGTGAGAAGCTGTGACAGACCAGGTGGTCTGCAAAGCCTAAAATACCGATTATCTGGCACTTTACAGAAAGTTTGCTGAGCCCTGGTCTAAATGTTTCAAGAGAAGCAACTTTTGAGTATCTGGAATTCTGGCTTTTGAAAGGGGACATCACCACCCGTGAACCGGGAAGTCAATTTCAGAATCCGGAAGGAACCAAGGGTATGATGGTGAAGCCCCAGTGATCCTGAGAGCGCTTTTCACACCTGTCCCCCAGTTGGCTGCAAGTTCGAGGGCCAGCCTGGAGGGCGGCTTTACTCTTGGCCTACGGGGAGGCCTGGGGACAGCTGGGCCTGGAGCTGGGCAGCCTCCCCTCCTGCCTGCCCCAGCTCACCACCCTATGTGTTCGTCAGCCTCCTTCTCCGGTAGACCCCACGCAGCACAGGGCCAAGGATGGTGGGGGTAAAGGCCACGCCAGAGGGCCAAAGGCAAGAGGAAGGGCCGGCCAGGAGCAAAGCAGTGAGCAGAGTGCCTGGTGCAGAGGGAACCGACAAGGAGTGTTTCCTCCTCCCTTTCTGCGGGGACACGGTGGGTGCGCGCGGAGGAGGAGACAGGGATGATCTTCAGCTCTCTTGCAGCTTGGGTTCCTCATTGATTCGAAGCCTGGCAAGATGATGGTCTGAGGCCAGAACGGTAGGGCGCCCTCAAGGCCCGGCTGCGGAGTTTAGGATTTTGCTCACCGAAAACAGAAGGCTTCCGTGGAGATGGAGCAGGAGAGAATCTGAGGACCCATGTGTTCGGGAAGAGTGATCGGCCGAGGTGCATGGAGCCACGGCCCCTCGCATACAGCCGCTCACTGACTGAGACGGACCAGCCGCCTCCTTCCCTGTGTTTCCAGAAAAATTCATAGACGTTATTTTTTGGAGGAGTCTGGAGCAAAGCTGAGTGAAAGTACAGGGTTCCCACCTGCCTGCTCTGCCAACCCACACAAGCGCGCCGTGTTTGTGCCCACGGGCCAGGCAGCACTGAGACGTCAACGGCGGCCTTTCCACATGAGCTCCCTGGGGAGACCTCTGGAAGTCTCCCGCCTTTGAGGAGCTGGCAGGACCCCACGTCACCTAGTGCACAGGATCCAGCCAGGGCACAGGCCAGCATCGCCTTCCGCCTCACAGATTCCAGAGGCCCAGGCCTCTCCTGGGGCCGGCTGGGCCAGAAGCCTACGGCTGTAAATGGGGGTTCTGGTTTGCGGGTCTGGTTGGGAACCCCCAGGGCCTGGCCCCAGAATCGGATCAGGGAGTTTCTAAAACTGATGTGTCATTCTCCTGGCAAGCCCCTGGGTGGTGCCGGGTTTTGATAGCACTTGGTCAAAGTGTTGGCACGATTGTCTTCCTGAGGCTTCTTTATGGGGCTCCGTGGGTGCAAAGGCCTATTACTGACCAAGGAGGAGAAGGAACTTTGCTCCAGGGGCAAGATGGAACACTTGGGTGGGCGTGAATGACCAGACTGTCCTCCGCCCTGGGACCGAGCATTTGCCAAGGCCAGGTTTTCACCTGGAGAGAAGTTCTGCTGTCAACATGTGGAATCAGTGCTTCAGCCTCTGGAGGGACGCCACGGGCTACCCGGTCTATTGGAACATTCTATATCTACATGGGGGCGCTGTGGGACGACAGGCGGAGACTTGACCAAGAGCACACAGCTGGCTACGGCCAAGAGAGACAGGAGCCTGGGTGGTTCTCCTTGCACTTGAGTCTGCTTTTCAAACCAAAAACCATGACCTTGGAGGCTGAGGGTACAACGAAGAAACGGGGGCTGGGAGCCAGCTTTCTAACCCTCGTCTTCAAGTCACCTTCTGTTTTACATAAAATCTTTGGGGAGTCCGTGTGTGATCCCCAGAAGCAGACCCTGTGCCCGTGCCTGTCGCATTCCTGGCTGTGTTCCAGACCCTACCTTTTTGTGGCGCCCTCTGTACAGTTCATAGGACGGGAGCAGGTGCCTAGCGAGGCGGGGGATTAATCTGCTGCCCTGCCCCCCGGAAGCTTGGTCTGGTGGGAGAAAAGACACGTGCACAGTTCCCTCACAGAAAATTCGGCTTCTCCAGGTCTCGTTTCCAAATGGCGCTAGTACATGGCTGCAGGGCACCCACGTCTGTGGGATTAAGGGATGCCGCACACCTGGGCTGAGCCTGGAGCAAAGAAAAGCTTCACAGTTAAAGTCTGTCGAGCGGAAAGAATGATGGGAGTCGGCGGGGGGCGGGGGTCAAACCAACAAAATAAAACCTGTAAAGAGCACGCTACATGCTAACGGCGAGCTGTCTCGGGGATGCTGTCGGTCCGGTCCCTGGTGAGCGCATACTCAGCCAGACGCAGAGCTCAGAAGGCAGGCGCTCTGCCCGAGGAGCCCAGGGATGGGCGGGTTCCCGGGAGCCAAGAGGGAAGGAGGTCAAGAGGTGACGTTTGAGCTGAGCTTTGAAAGTCGAGGACAAGTTCATTTGGAGGGGGGAGAGGGGCCAAGGCAATGAGAGAGGGAGGCCTTGAGTGCCGTGTTAAGGAATTTGGATTTCAGATTCTGGAACATGGTAATTTCTCAAGGATTTTGAGGCAAGGGATGATAGGGTCACATTTATTTCAGAAGGAGAATCCAGGCCAAAGTGTGGAGAACTAGCTGGCTAGAAGAGGAAGGTGCTGGAGGCAGGGGTCAGGCCACCGTGCATTCATGACGCGCGCCAGGGCCCTGGCCTACAGCGGTGCGTGAGGCTGCCTGCCCCCTTCTCTCCCAGAGCTTACCTTCTAATAACCGGAATCCAGTGGAAGGAATGAGAAGCAAGAAACGAGCTGACTTGAGATAATCTCAGGGTGGTTGAGTGCTAGGAAGGTGGTCAAATAGGGTGCTGGGGCAGAGGGGCTCCCTTACGCTGGGTGGCGAGAGGTGTCACAGAGAGGCAGGGTTTCATCGGAGGCTGCAGGGAGGAGAGCTGGGGCCAGGGTTTCAGAGCAGAGGGCGCAGCTCGGCCGAAGGCCTAAGGTGGGAATGAGCTGGGCTGGGGGGCAGGAGGCCGGCCAGGGTGGCTCCACGGGCGAAGGTGGGAGCGCACAGGAGGCAGAGGTTAGGGCTGGACCTTAGGTGCTGGTGGGGATGCCAGGCGCCCAGGGGGTTTGCGGCGGGTCCCAGGATGAGGAGCTGGTGCTGCCAGAGGCAGGTGCGCAGGGAGAATGGGCAATGGGGCAGTGAAAGCAGACGACGAATGGGCCCGTGCCCAAGACGGAGGTGGGGGGCCACCCCTCCCTTTGGCGAGATTCCTCACTCATTTCTCTTTTGGGTTTTCACGCGATGTGTTCAACTTCCCACCCGAGGGAACAGAGGCTTTGGGGGGACAGGGAGATCTCAAGCCTGGTGAATGTGAGGGGCTGGGGGACTGCAGCAGGGCTGATCCAGACTTCAGGGCGGGAGAGTCGGGGTGCGGGGCCGAGTACCCCGCCGGGAGCGGAAACTGACAGTGAGTTTTCGGGAATGGAGGAGCCTGGACCCCGGAGATTTGCGGGCTAGGTGGATGGTGGAGGAAGAGGACCCTACAGAAGGCGCGTGGACAGCTGCGGGCGGGATGCAGCGGGCTCTGGGACTTCTGACCAGAGAAGCAGCCAGAAACACTAGAGGCCAGAGGTCAAAGGGCACGGACTCAGAGCTGGACTGGCTGCCGGTGGATCCTGGGTCCGCCACTTCCTACTCGGGGGACTTAGGGCCAAAGTGATGACAGCCCCCTGCGATGCAGCTTCCTCAGCTTAAATGGGGAGTAACCATAGATCCGGCGTGGGGTTTGAAGCTAGGGTGGCCTGATTCGGGTTTCCTGTGTCCTGGCAGAAACACCAAACTGGGTCAGAGACGAAGGGCTTTCGTGCTGGGGACAGAGGGGGCAGCATGAGCATCAGTGTCCCCAAGTCCCATGGGCGTGGAGGGAGAGGTGACAGGAGCCCGGATGGAGGCTGTAGGTCTGCGCTGCTGCTGACGGATGCCGAGGGTCCCCCTCTTTCCTAGCTTGCTCTTCGCCCTGGAGGCCCCCTCATTCCTCACGGTTGCTCGCTGCAAACGCGCCCCGATTGATGGGCTGGGAGAAGAGCAGTCAGGACGCTGCTCCTGTGACATGCTCAGCAAGAAGGGGGGGCACGGGAGGACCCCTGGGAGGAGCGCTGCCAGGAAGACAGAAGATAATGTGGACGGCTCTCGATCGTGCTCTGCAAGTGTGGCTGTGACCCCGGGCTGACAACATACAGGAAGGCAGGGTGGAAACGGAGTCTCGCTTCTTGCGAAACATTGAGAAAAGGAGCTTAACAGGCATCTGCAAAACGCTCACACGTGCGGGGCACTGGCCGCAGCGCGGGGAGCTCAGCCATTTGGAGACCCAGGTGCCCAGGCCGGGCTGGGGTGCGGGCAGCCGTCTGTCCGGAAGTGCGCCCCACCCCGTGCTAGAGGCTGGGTGCGGCCTGGCCAAAGATGGAAACCAGGAGAGAAGCTCAGCGCAGGAGGCGGACACGCTGGCTGGCCCGGGGGCCAGCAGGGGAGACCTCGCTCCCCTTGGCCTTGCCAATGGAAGGGTAGAGAACACCTGGCAGTGCTGAATGTGACCCAGTCAGGTAAGGGCCCAGGAGGGGCATCCATCCACCTGCTGTCACCAGAAGGGGCTGCTTCAGGGTCCTAGAGGGAGGAGCCAGCAGACTGCAGCACGGGGGAGAGCAAGTCCTTGGAGTCAGCGGGCAGAAACCTATTCCAGAAGTTTGTCGTGTAGGAGAGGACCTGGGATCTTGTGGAATTATTTTTTTTTAAATATGTTAAAGGTGTGTAAGCACGTTTAAATGCCGGAGGGACTAACTCGTAGGAAGCGAAAGGTTGACCTTGCAGGAAGGCACAACAAAGTAAGGTCCTCAGAAGGATGGGGTGCGAGCACAGGGTGAAGACTGTCTCTTGAGTAGAACAGGAGAGAGGGGGAAAGAAAGGGCATGAACTCAGGTATGTCTAGAACCAGTAGCAAAGCATTCTTCCAGGGAGCCCCTGTGCAGTGATGTCCTCCAGCTCCATGAAATGGAAAGCTAGGTGACCTGAGAGCCAAGCGAAGGGCACTGGAGACTTCTGGAACTTGGCGGGGTGGGGAGGGTGGTTACTGGCAGGGACACCAGTGCAGGGGGTAGGTTAGAAGGCCTGCACAGAAGGGCCAGCAGGACCCCACAGTTAGGAGCACAAAGCCTGGGCGGCCAGGAGCCGAGGGAAACAGTGACCGGGCAGCAAGGCAGGAGGAAGGTCAAGCGGCTGGACGGGGAGGGGGGAAGCTCGGAGTCCAGGAGAGCACGGAGGCTGGAAGGTCAGCAGCAGAGGCACAAAAACCAGCTTCTGCCAAGCCTGGAGGAATCCAGGGAGAGGCTCTCCCACGGCGCCAGCCTTTGGCTTCATTTACCCCACGGCTCAGCGTGACCTTGAGTGCCCTCCACCTAGCAAGTGTTGCGCTTTGCCTCCTCCTTCCTCCATCTTTAGAAGTCAAATCCAAGGTGTAGGTTTTGAGCCTCAGGAGGAGGCAACAGGGATCCCCCATCAACACACACAGGCCAAAGAACGGTGTTTCTCTCGTTTATTTAAA